GACCAGACTCAACAAGGCAGTCATAACACGATTTAACTGAGTGTGTGCGTAACACGTTCATTCTGAGGGAAGTCTTAGGAAACGTTTTTATAAGATTTAAGCCTTCAATTTCGCTCCAGGGACCCCAAAGGAGCACCGCCTCTGATTGATGTTGCCAATGTTGGAGGAACCCTGTAGTCCAACAAGATCGGAACTGGCAAAAGTGGAACTACAGCGACCAAGTAAAGCTGACAAGGAAGCAGTAAAAGTTTCAATATCGCAAGGTATTCAACTTATAAATATAAGTTCGTCCTCTTCCGGTACTCGAACCTGGGCGTGTCAAGCAGAAGCATCTCGTCAAACTATAATTGGACTTGTTTTTAGCATGATAATAAGAGAATGTCAAAAGTGTTTTTTCAACCTTTCAAACGAAAAATTGCAAGAAAAAGTAAGGAGGCCATAAGTATGCATGGTGCCAACTTGGCGCTACTACCATGGTCATTTCAATAAGAGGCCAATGAAAGACCAGACAAAAACTTTTTACAAAAAAGCGAAACAGCTCGTGGTGATTTGTCGGATTCTATGTATATCCTGTCATTAATAAGAAAAGGATTAAAATGTTGGTTAGATTGCTAAGGGTAAGCTGACGCCATCGCTCTATCGTAGTCCTCTCTGCCTTACTTAATTGCCTTCGAAAACTGCTCTCACTTGAGATCAAGGTCTCATTGTCGCCATTCGCCTGATTTGCTCAGTAGGGAATGAAGCACCACTTCAACGGAACACTTCCTGAAATCGTGACAATAACTGGCCACGCAAGGAAATGCTGGAACTTCAGGGAAAGAGAACTACGAGTCCCTTCTTCGCATAGCAGGTGAACTTAGATTCCTTGATTTCTCTGATTGTGCTCATCAGTTACAATAGAATTACCGGAAGTAGTGTGAGTAAAACATTTATTTGATAATACATATGGCATATAAACACAGAATATAAACTATCAGCTAAATCCTCTCGCTGCCACTATGAGCTTTGTTCAGATAAGTTCCAAAAAGATCTTTTTTCAGGCCTTTACAGAGTGTTTGCGAGGTCATAAAACTTATAAGATATTGAAGTGGGTGAAATGTTCACACAAATATAGGTGCAACTCTCAAGACAGCTCATGTTTACTCATTTTAACATTGAGTTGCTGTGTGAAGCTTTCAGTAGAAACTAATAGATTTTTTAATTTCTCTCAAATGCAGGAGCCTCAGTTCTGGGTAGTTGGCCAGGCAGAAGAGTTGCATGTGAACTGTGTGTCAGTAGTTCTGTAAACAGTGGTCTTCTCGGATCTCTCAAATTTTTCTCGGTAGCGAAAACTATCGATCACGAGTATCGATCAGCAGAAATAGCAACACTAAGTAAAAGGCTTGTGAAAGTCGAATTCGCCCTTTGAGTCATGATGTCGGGCCATATGAGAAGAGTTTTTTTTATACTCATTAAGAACTAGTGCTCTTTGGCGATCATGCAAACTTTGCTCTGTGCATTGCTTCACCTCAAACTACAGGTTCCCATTTGATTCACTAGCGATTTACGGCTGAAAAATTTTTCAAACCAGAGGACATTTTCCAGCATCAAATCGATAAGTGTTTCCATGCACGAGAATCCAGATGTTTCGTCTGCTGCTCTTTCAATCGTGACGTCCGCGACTATTTACAAACGCGCCTGTCTCTTTACACTTTCGAAGTCGCTTTCATGAATCCTTTTTTACTGTGTTTTCAGAAACATTTCAACGAAAATTGTCTGCCTAGAATCGACTGGCATTGGAATGGTCACCTATGAAGAGCTCCAACTTCGGAATGTCGCTACATTGGGTGGATTGATGCGTTTTATTCGCTTATTTCATATATACCGGACTGAATGAGCTCCTACAGGTTGTGGGACGTTTGGGAGGGTTGACCTCGCCTGGAGTGAAGCTAAACAGGAATATTATGCGGTGAAGAAGTTCAATATCCACGAGGTGAGCTGGAGTTAGTCATTAATTGATTGACCTAGACGGCTGGTTTTTGAATACTGCGTGACGTTCTATCAGTTATCGAAACAACCAATACTTATACACATATTTCTGGTGGCCTACATTGATATAATCACTGGTATGTCAATTAAGGTTACACTGTCACTATTTCCACTCAATTTATGATATATTTCATTTTTACCCAGGTTGCATACCATGCGTTGACCTTGTAACTTGAGTAAAACCTGCCCCATTAGTACCCAGGAGAAGGTTGGGAGCGTGGATAGGGATGGAATATTCGGAAGAACTTCTGCTTTCTGGAAGGAAATACTATGCCACAGATTTATTAGTCACAAGCTTTGTTGTTGATGTCGAGCAGCAGACAAACTTTCTGCTGATACAAGACGTCTGCCATTTGGAAATGATGGGATAGGCTGACGTCTTCACCTTTTCCATTTTCTGGCAACTTGCACTAGAAATCCCTTCCAGCTCCTTCAATAATGTAGCAAAGTTATTAGCAAAGGGCTTGAACCCAACTCTTCACTGCTGAAATTCCCCTTTCACACACAGAACTTACCAGCAGAAGTAGTGACTGGAGTCTGGGTGATGGTCATACCGTCCGTGTCCGTACGATTTGTTTCCACGGATAGCTGAAGTTAACATAAAACGACTGCTATCGACGGCAACGACAGGGCCTTACACAGCGCGTAATGAGTAGAATATTTGCTGCCTGATCTCCCGTGACTTTGCCGAGCAAATATGCCTTCATCTCAAGCCGCGAAGAAATATTGCACGGCTACTAAATTTTCATATCCCAGTCATTCTGATGCAACTTCATGAAATTCATTCCAAATATAGCTTGTGGTTGAAGAGATGCCTATAATGTGTCGGGCCGAGTGGGCAAAATTGAATCCGACGAAGCTTTTATAACGCCATTGTTCGTGAATTGGCTTGAAATTGTCGTCTCCTAAAACAACTAGAAACATTTCACAGTGGAGCCGCCAAAGGCCAAAAGTTTCAAATCTGTTTGAAAATAACAGGATCAAGAAAAAAACCAACAAATTATAAATCTTGTAAACTCGAAATCCTTGATATCCATTTTTAGGTAGTACAACAAAATCGAATGGAGTACGTGAAGCGCGAAAAGCAGCTGCTTCTTATGTCTTCCTGTGCATTCGTCGTAGGACTGTAAGCCGTTAGAACTTGATGTTTTCTATGCGTACGGAACTTACACCTACGCCAAGCGGACTTCTCTTTTCTAGCTCACTCTTAAGTCCGCCTAAATAATTTTGTTTTTTGATTTCGGTTTGTTACAAAGCTGGAGCCCCTTAAAATGTCACTTAGAGTGTTGTTGGGTCATAATCTAATAATAGGAATAAGGCTGGGTGTTTGGCGTTACCCGGTCTCATTTTTCGCCCTTTCACCTACTTGCACACAGGGTCGTGTCGCTTATATGAAAAAGTGGGTTACTCATACAATGACTTTCGAAAGACAGCTGATGTAGAAGTCAGGGACTTTTGAAGAAGAACGTTGTACCAACAAAGTGATCCCATAGGGATGGAATGCTTCATTGGTTAGAGCCCGGATTTGGTACCCGGGCAATGCATATGGCATAGCGCGCCCCTTGCCTCCTCCCATAGTAATCTCTCTTATTTATAAAGCAGTTACTTGGTGTGTCGCTTCGTATGCTTGTGCGTTTGTCGGTTTGTGTGTCTGTCCGTCCGCAAAACTTTGTGATTACGATAACGGTAGTGATATGGAGAACCCGGTTTTATCCTACATCCCCTTATTATATGTAAAGAGTAACTCGGTGAGTAGGTTTATGGAATAGACTAGTACTGGGGAGTGAAGTGAGTAATGTGGTGATTTCTACCTGCAGTTGCATCGTGCTATGTACGTCTATACAAAAATCGGAGGTGATAATATGGTTGAGAGACCTTCCCTTTTTTCAATTTTGAACGCTATAGCGCAGATAAGGAGGGAGCCTATAATTGAGCTCAGGAACGTTTCTTAGCCGAGAAAATACAGTTTTTTGACCTGAGCTTCAGGGGTGAAGAAGCTGGTGAGGTGCACCCCCCCCCCCTCACCCTGGCGCCCACTATCATGCATTTTCTACTTACTTTGTAAAAGTAGGGATGAGGCCCGGTGTAAGTCGGGCGACCCGACCGATAATGATAATAATAATATGATTGATATTGATAATATAATATTAAGTACAAAAGAAGAAGGGCATAGGTGAAGCGCGATCACCAATGATCTGGGCGCAATCATGATTGCTAAAATAAAAAGGTGTTTGATCAAACTTAAGGAAGGTGTTTTGTCCCTCTTGTCTGTATATGTGAACTTTTTTTGGAATTTGAAATCTTAAGGGAGACTGAGGCAACTTTTCGACATTTCAGTCTTGCAAAGAAGTTAGAGACATTGGTATTTCTTTTTTTGTGAAGGGCTAATGTTGACTCCATTTTGCAACTCGTTTATGTTTCGAAATTTTTTTCGACGTTACTCGATTCCGTTTTGGACGGCTCCCAATCAAGGTCGTAGTGGCGGTTTGATTACGTACATGGCCTACACAATAAGTCGGCTAGCCGATGTACAAATCAGTGCCTCTATGCTCACAAACGAGTCTGGTATGGATTAAGCGATCACGAAGAGATGGAAGGATGGTTGGCCTGAACCGACAGATGTTTCGACCTGGACCACGCGCGTGTGATACAGTGCCACTTGTCAATGCATCTTTTGCCGCTCAGATTTTTGGGCTCTATATTGTAGTATGTAGCTCATTGGGTGAAACACGCTGATTTCCCTCATATCGGATCTTTTGATCAAAGGGAAGGATTTCAAAAACTACAAATTAAGGCGCGATGGGCACGCTCAACATTCAGTTAGCACAGCGAAGCAGAGAAAATCAAAAGCGAAGAGACTTACTTAGAAATAAACATTGTATCAAATACTCGAAAATCGTCCCTATGCATTTTTTATAAGACTCTACTGCTGTCGGAACTCAAGAGCACAAATTTCCAGAGTTTGCACAGGGATGGATCGAGTAAATCTCAGTCTGGTGATGGAGTTCATCCATGGTGGAGAGTTGTCCGACTACCTCAACGACATGAGTGAGTGAGTAGATACACTGTTTGAGTTCGATTCTTCCTTTTGGAAAAAAACACATAAGGAGATGGGAAAACGAGGTAATGACTTTAGGGAAGATCTCCGAGCTGCCGTACATTTCTATTCGATAGAAATTGTCTGCGCCCTTCAATACCTGCATTCAAAAAGTATCGTGAGTTCCGTTACTTCAGTGTCTTAAGGATCGCATCAAAAAATACCAATTGAGCTATGCATGCACGCTGCACGCGTGCATTATACAGTGCGTCGCCAAATGACACAGCCACCCCTAATTTCCCCAAAAACTCACAGTATTTGATGTTTCTGAAAAACTGCCAAAGTAAGGAATGTGTCAAATTTGAATTGCAATTCGCACATTACCACCAAGCAAGACACAAACTTTTTTTTTCGTCAATTTTTCAGTAAAGGGTGCTTTCCCAACGTCGCCAAATGATACAGCCACTTCATGTCTCCGTGTCGTTTTTTAGTTCAACGCAACGGAATTGCTCCGATTATGTAATGTTCTTCATTTTCAGGCAATGGGAAAAAGAAGCTCGCTTTTGGAATTCGAATAAGGTCAAATCCTCGCGAAAAAAGAGCAGGGACTGTCAAATCGCAGAATGGCGCGAGATTTGGGTCGATGTCACACAGCTTTGGACAATTCCGTCAAAGTCCATAAGCCTATGATAAACCAGAAGAAGTGCTGGACGTCCTTAGCTGCTTTCTGACAGAGATGATTGCCGTACTTTGAGGGAAGCATCGAACTCCACTAAGTCCTGTATGGAAATCCGGTCGTTCCTGTGTCAAAAAGGACTGCTTGGAAGGTGATCAGTAAGTCCAAGTTCATTATATAGCGGAAAATGCGTGAGGCGTCCTTCGTGACACAAAGACATCGAGGAAATCGGGTCGCTTTTGCCAGACGGTGCAGCCGAACCGAGTGGAATAAGGTGTTCTTCATGTGCTATCATTTGATCTTCCTTCTCTTGATAATTTTTATTCTTCAAGTCGGTTTTTCCGATGAAAAGAAGTTCAATTGTGATGGTCCAGACGGGAACCGATTTTACTGACACGATCTGAGAAAAAGGAAACTTCAATTTTCTAGACGCAACTTCAAGTGGAAAGTGTAATGGTTCAGGCCACAATTTCATCGAGTAGGCTTACTCGTTTATGATTTGTATCAAGGCTCATGAGCTCATCCTTTTGTCGAACCGTTATGCGCCGTGCACTTCTCCCTTATTGTCGTCAGAATCTGCACCGAAAATTGTTTTCATGCAAGATAACGCTCCAATTTACGTCAGCAGGAGCATCCAAGCTTGGTTCTCTCGGCACTACTGCCCTGACCGGCGAACAGCTCCGGTTTGAATCCGATGGGAAATGTATGGGGCTTCATGGTGCGGAAGATCTACGCACAAAACAAGCAATTCCGAGGCGTCGAGGGGTTGAAAAAAGCGTTAATCGGAGCATGGCACCAAGTTGCCCAGGAGCTGACCGATTTATTCGAGCCTGGATCACCAAATTATCAAAGTAATTCGAAAGAATGGTGGGTCAGCTGATTATTGACTTTGTAACTTTCTCTCCTTGTTGTATGTTTGTTGTTGAATAAATTAATTTTGTTAGTGGCTGTATCATTTGGCGACGTTGGAAAAGCACCCTTTATTGAAAAATTGACCAAAAAATGTTTGTGTTTTCGAGCTGTAGTTTGGTGATAATGTGCGAATCGCAATTCAAATTTGACACATTTTTACTTTGGCAGTTTTTCAGAAACATCGTACACAGTGAGTGTTTGGAAAAATCAGAGGTGGCTGTATCAATTGGCGACGCACTGTATGTCCACGGCCACTCATCTACGGTGGAGTCATCCAGCTGACAATGAGTGTTGGGTCATCAATATGAGATAGCTGTCTTTTAATTTGAACGCTTAACCGCTTTAAGAGCATCACGCTTGATATATTTCATTTGAACTGAATTATGAGTGGTTTATCATAGCCCTGTCCACTTCAGTGCAGACCTTCCTCACTACAGAGGTTTGACCACCCTTCTTTTGACTGATCCTAGCCATTTTCTCCGCATTCTAGGAAGGTTTTCGGCAGGTTTGTAAATTGAAGTGAACCAAAACATTTTTCTCTTTCCAACATAGTGAGAGATCATTTCACTGCGGGCCATAGCTGTTTTTTTCGGTTTTGAATCGTAGTAATCGACGATGGTTAGCTGAACGGCTGCTGTGTGCTCAACATCGTACAGCTTCACACTTACTAGTCCATATTGTCTTCTACTCAGCTCACATTGCTGTACCATTGATGATGTACCAGCACTAGTGGGGTATGAATGCCGTGTCACGGAGACTGCTTTACCACGTTGCGTTGACTGATTTGGACATGTCAATTGATAGCTGTCCGCAAAGACTCATGGGATACCCGAATTCACACGCTGTACTTGAACCCACATATACCAGTGTGCAAAATGGCCTCGAGATCATTCCAGGAGATTAGTAGAACTTGTAAATTTCTGAGCACATAGTAATCTTCGATATTTTCAATATTCTGAAGTGTTTCCAATAGTGCCGGTCAATTCAGGTATACCGCGATCTCAAACCCGAGAATCTTCTCCTCTCCAAAAATGGCCATGTCAAGATAGCTGATTTTGGGCTTGCCAAGCTCCTAAAGGGAAAGTGAGTCGTTAAGGGTTTCACATTGAAAAATAGGCTGTGAGGAAGGAGAACTCGTTGTATGTACTACTTTCTCACCTAAATATGTAATAATTCTCTTTTGAGGACCTATACTATCTGTGGAACTGCTGAATATATTGCGCCTGAAGTGATACTGAAGAAAGGATACGGTATCGCGGTGGACTGGTACTAGTCTCTTTTCGTTCGGTCTCTTCTGATTAAGTATTTATTAGCTCTATCAACATAATATGGAAGGGCGAGTTATGTTTCATCAAAAATGGGTCTGGCAATATCGAGCCCTGCCTAACACGGACATTCAGCCATCTCTGAATAAATTGTTTTTTTGTCAAGTCTCAATTTCAGTGTATATATCCCAGGGTTCTTTTACGGTAACCTGAAGAGATTCAAAATATTACCCATCGCGTGCGAATTTTAACAAAAAGTTTCCAATATAACCCTTTTAAAGGCACCGTTCACAAAAAAGTTAGGGTACCCTTTTTTTGACGGGAATTGATAGAACTACTCTAGAATAAAGCGATAACAACGAAAAAAGCGCAAAAAAATGATGAACAAAAAAAATAGAAAGGGTCAAAAAAAGAGCTGGAAAGGGGGTTGGACCAGTCTCACATTGAAATAACGGCGGTTAGGGAGTGTTCGGGCGAGAATGCACGAAGGCGACGCAATGTCTGCAATACAGACAACACACCCAAACAGCTGATCGGATTTCTCCCTGCTATTATTATCTCCTTGAAATACTTACCTCATCCATTCGACGACGGCAGGCAGGGCATACTTAGAAAAGAATAGCGCAGAATAATAGTAGAATAATAGAAATAACAGCTGAATACTAGCTCCTGTACGAGGCTATCGACCAGCTGACCATTCCTGGCAATTTGTCAATCAGCGTATCGATTTTTCACCAACTTCGCTCCAGTGCGAATGTGGTGAAGGACAATTTGAACTCG